CCTCTTAATGCTGCTTCAACCCTCAGACTTTCATGCTCCAACTTAATCTTCTCAGTTTTTGCTTCCCCATCTCTAATTTCATGTGCTGATCAACAAACAGTTCTGACCTGATATCACTGGACTGCCTCCAGAGGTTTACTTAAAATTGTGAGTCCTTCAACAACACTCCTCAATTAATTGCTTTTTTCCCAGCCCCTACAAATTAACTGTCAACTAGAAGTTCATCTAAAAAATTCAAGAAAAAAACAAACAGACAAAGTGAGAAACACAATCACAGAGAAATTGGTAACACTGTCTCCTCTTGGTTACACTGTCTCCTCTTGGTCCTCCGGTTACACTGTCTCCTCTTGGTACACTGTCTCCTCTTGGTTACACTGTCTCCTCTTGGTAACACTGTCTCCTCTTGGTTACACTGTCTCCTCTTGGTTACACTGTCTCCTCTTGGTTACACTGTCTCCTCTTGGTTACACTGTCTCCTCTTGGTAACACTGTCTCCTCTTGGTATGTGACACTGTCTCCTCTTGGTTACACTGTCTCCTCTTGGTTACACTGTCTCCTCTTGGTAACACTGTCTCCTCTTGGTAACACATGTCTCCTCTTGGTTACACTGTCTCCTCTTGGTTACACTGTCTCCTCTTGGTTACACTGTCTCCTCTTGGTTACACTGTCTCCTCTTGGTTACACTGTCTCCTCTTGGTCTTGAACCAGGGATCTTTTAGGTGTTAACCATTACACTGGAGTAGAGAGCAACCTAAAATACTAGCTTTTACCTACTGCTGCTTCTTTTTACATCAACACAGTGGATATCTTTATTTAAATTGACCTGTACCAGATCTCCTTTGGAATTTTGTGCTCTGGCTTCATTTACTCTCTGCAAACAAACATTTCCCTGTAACGGGGATTAAATGAACACAAACACATAGTTGCTGCCATGCTGTTTGGTTTGTGCTGACACATCATCAGTCACCAGAAACCATGTATTGATCTGCATATAAAGTGCACTTAGCAGGAGTGCTGCAGGATTAGAGGGAGGGATGCAGAGGAACATGAAAGGTAGGAATGGAGCAGGAGGAAGAAGATGAGACGTAGGGGCAGAGGGAAACAAAAGGCCTGCATGTAAATTTACAAGCCGTTATTAAGTCATGCGTACCTGAAAGAAAGCTGCTTTGCTGTTTTGAGTGTCCTAGTCACAGGAAACAGTAAAGGCGTAGAGGCAGTAGGATGAAACATTATCAAGAGGAGCAAACAGTAATTTTTCAGCAAATCCAGGGGTGATGTAGAAAAAAGGCTAGGCTAGATACAAAACGCTGTCTTTGTGCAAGCATTGTACAGCAAACATGTCAAAATCCTTAAATAAGCATCAAAGCAGCCAAGATGAGAGTCAGGACATCCAGTCATAAAGTTTGAGCTAAAAAAGAATGCAGGCGTGTGCTGTGCCTTTGAGCCGAAGTGCAAAGTTTATATAAGCAATCATATGATAACATACCCTGCAAACAGCTAAACTCAAGGTTCAGGTTCAAGGTTCTTTATTATTTGTCACATGCATAGTTATACAAGTATAACACACAGTGAAATGTAGCCTGACACGCTCCTCGACATGTGCAAAAATTGGGGGGGGGTGTAGAGGAAGAACATTATATATATATATATATATATATACAGACATATAGTATATACACTGGGTGAATGTGCAGTAGTAGCAGCAAGCAGGTGAATTCTGTACATTAATATGAATAGATATCTGACTATTTTACAGGATAGACAATATAAACATATTTAAAATTAAAGGAATTGAAATGTACATTGTGCCTTGGTTTAGTGTCTGGAAGAGTCCTGTCTCAGTCAATTATAGATGATGTGAGAGGGCAATGTACATTTAATTCTACACCACAACAGCAGCCACATTTGACATCATTTATCTAAGAGCTACAAATAAACAAACAAATAAATAAATCTAACCACGGGACTATTTTTTACATGTTATTACTGATAATAATATTTAATTATCCCATAAACCTCCTCAGGCACTCTAATATAAGCCTGACACTGCACACTTTGTAAGAGTACTACTTCAAACATAAATAAAAACATAAAAGTACACATAAAACAAATGAACTCATTATAACAAAGCTCACATTATGGACTCATGAATTTCTCTTCAGTCAGTATGTTCAGGAATTACATTAAATGACGAGCTTTGGCATGAAAGCAGTGCCTCCTGCTGCAGCCATGGCTCACAGGCTACCACATGCTGAGATGGCGACTGGTGGAAGCTTGTCTGTGTAGTGACCAGGAGTCTCCACCTCCAACTCTGCTTTTGCTTTTAATTTCCTGCTACGTGTCTGGGTGCTGAAAGCAGCATTCTGAGGGAAATGCCCACAGGACACTATAACAGATCACCTTCACCTTAGTGGTTGAAACACAAGCACCCACTCCAATCATGATGATAATAAACTTGAAGTAAAATGTGCAACTTTCCCTACAATTTCCACAGAACCTGCTAAGATATAAGCTTTCTTAAAATTAGAACCACTGGCAGCGCAATTTAGACTTGACTAAACAGACGGTCGAATAAAACACCCAGTCTGGATACGTCTAAACAAGAAATTTGGTATTTTTATTACAAACATGTTATATTTGTGTAGGAATCATTTTCAAATCTAATATTCAAATCCTATATCAGATGGATGTGGCAGAAAACACTGCCCTCGCATGTGAGCTACAACATATGATACTCTTCAATATTATTATTTAATAGTAACACTGGTATTATATAATGTTTAACATTATATTTTAATGATAATAATAACAAAAATGTAAAATATTACAGAGTGGTTCGTGACCAGATGTGACATGTTGAAATGTTTCCGTTTGAATGCTGAAGTGTGAAGACCGTATGCCAGTTCAGTCCAGCTGTAATTGTCAATATAAATGCAAAGACTCGTCTTTATTTATTTTTAATCTAATCCTGTTGATTTTGAAGGAATTAAATTAGGAATAAAACTGATAGTTTTCAAGTAAAAATACATGAAAACCAAAGATCGTTTGACTTGTCATGTGACTCTGCTGCTGCCATCTTGCTGACTGACTATCAGCTTCTATAAAAACACTTGTGTTGGTTTTTGAAAGAAAAACAATAATAAAAATAACAATCAGACATAATATTTCACTGTTGAGAAGATTTTCTACAATATTTTACCATTATGAGTTTGATATATCACAATGAGTAGTACTTAGTACTTATTTTAGTGCAATGTGATGCTGAGTGACTGTTAAACACTGGCTCTGATAAAGAAAAAAATATGAACCAGTGTCTATCACAAGCCTCCCCCCATCAGCCTCCTACTAGATGCACGTATGGTAGAAATGTAAAAATCTGTGATTTAGAGAAAAGTTGACCTCGGTGACCTGACGGGTTTGACATTTGAACTTGTCTGAGCCTTTTAGCAGATGCACCTATGGCATGAATTTCATAATCCTGCAAGTTATTCACAAACTGTCTATGTCGCCCAGCAGGGTGACAACAATATCCCATCGGCCTTTTACGGCGGAGGAGTGAAATGATATTCCAGTCAGCTATGTTAATGCCTGTGTTATTACTTTCTGAGTTTTAATGGCACAAATGTGACATCCAGTAATAGCTCATCAAAATACCCTAAATGAGCTTCAAAAACTGTCATGGAAGAAGAGACTAAAAAGGCTAAACTACTGAAGTAATCCTGTAACAGTCTGCCGTTTGCAGCTCATTCTAAAACACGATGAACCTCTGATTCCTTAATATTCAGTCTTTTGACCATCACACTGTCACCCGTGAGCAGCAGCCAACATTTATGTTTTGTGTGCCACCTCGTCTGTGGCGCTTTTCTGGGATTCTGTTACATCTGACTGATGAAATAAAGAACAACAAAAGTCCCCCGCCCCAAGCAGAGGCTTAAAAATGCTGTATTGGTTGGAGGCGTTTTTCAATGGCTCTAGAGTTAATCTAACATGTTGTCTTTTGATTGTCAGAATATCCAGAGGAAGCGCACACACTGCACTTAAAAGCTTTTGGCTTTGAACCTTGGGTCTGACTCTATTCATATAATACACATTAATCTGACTGACAGAGCATATGAACATTTTTAGCCTAGAAAATCAAGCTCCACTGGATACAGGACAGACAGCGACTGCCCATCTATTCACATTTTCCTACCAAAAACTTCAACCTGTTCCAAAGGTTTTCCAGTATCAGCTCATTGCATCTTAGTACTACTGCAGTCATCAGCAATATGATGGCAACATTATGTCAGCGACAATTCCCAAAACAAGCAAAACAGATCTGCTAACGCTGGAATAATCTCAGTCCAGGCCAGAAATGCTGCACGCAGACTAAAACTGCACATTAACACGAATGCATATTAATTAAGATGTTGTGTGCAGGTATATCAGACCATCTGTTCCCTTCATCAAGAAAGAAAATACTCTGAGCTCACGCGATCATTCACGTGCAACTTTTTGTAAAGCAACACCTCCTCTCACGTAGACCTCCGGATGACTGACTGATTTCACCGCATGAGCCTTCCAAAGAGGGACGTCCAGTCCTGCTGGAATGAAGTGCAGCAGATGTTGCAGGCTTCATGCTGCCAGTCTGCACCGCACTGCGCCCCGCATCCACCCAATACACAACACCAGCGCCGCCGCGCAGACTGCAAGCTGCTCAGCTCCTTTTTATGAACAACGACAGCAGCACCACACACCGTTCTCCACCTCTCATCTGCTTGTCCTGTCTTTCTGTTAGTGCGTTTTCACGCCTCCTCCACCCCCTGATCTCCTGTCAGCATGATGCGGACTCCCTGACCAGGGACTTCAATGTGGAGGAGCTGTCATCCCTTAATGCGGTAAACTCCCAGCCCACATCACAACACGCACGCACGCACACTCACAGAGCCGAGCAGAAAGACGCAGTGAACTCTCACTGCAGCGCCGGTATTTTGCTCCAGAAGCAGCAGAGAGACACTTACAGTACGCAAGAACTGGATTTCATCCTCGCCTTCTCCTCCTTCAGCCATGGTTAGTGTTCACACGGTGAGGCTCGTACAGCGTCTGTGTGCCGAGGCTGGCTGTGCTTGTGTGCGAGTGTGTGTGTGTTGTGTGAGCAGAGAAAGGCAACGCATAGATGAACTCCTCTTTCATTGGATGGCTCACGCTCGTCGGGGGCGGAGCTGCACAGGAGCGTGTATGTGTGTAGTGTGCGCGTGCTCGAACGCTACGTTGGTCGGGTTACTCCCTCTGCTGGCCACTGTGGTCCCTGCCAGCAGAGAGCATTTCCATTAAACCAGGAGTGAGGAACTCCAGGCCTCAAGGGCCTGCAGGTTTTGGATCACACCCTGGGTCAGCAGACCTGAATCAAATGATTTGTTCAGTTCCCGGCCTCTGGAGAACTTCAAGACATGCCGAGGACATAATTTAGCCATTTCAATCAGTTATGCTGGATAAAGGACTAAAACCTGTAGGACACCGGCCCTTGAGCCCTGGAGTTCCTCCACCTGTGGACTAAACAAAGTCACAGTCATCAGTCTGGGTTGTGTATGTTTGTGTATGTATATTTCAGTTTATCTCATAGTGACAGTAAATGATGATGCTTCAGTCAAAACTGTTATATAATAAGAAAAACTTCACCGAGCTATGTTCCTACCATCACCTATAGTCACGAGCTGTGGGTAGTGACCAAAAGAACGAGATCGCGGATAAAAACGACAGAAATGAGCTTCCTCCAAGGGTGGCTGGCCTCTCCCTTAGAGATAGGGCAGGGACGCCGGAGATCCGGGTTAGAGCAGCTGCTGCTCCACATCGAAAGGAGCCAGCTGAGGTGGTTCGGGCATCTGACAAGGATGCCTCCTGGGCGCCTCCTGGGTGAGGTGTTCTGGGCATGTCCCACCGGCAGGAATCCCAGGACAGACCCAGGACACGCTGGAGAGATTATACCTCTCGGCTGGCCTGGGAACGCCTTGGTGCTCCTACGAACAACCTGGAGGATGTGGCTGGGGAGAGGGCGGTCTGGGCTTCTCTGCTTAGGCTGCTGCCCCCGCGACCCAGAAGAAGATGGATGCATGTTTAAACAGCTTGGCTATATCAATGACTATTTAGTGTCAACTTCTTAACCATCTTTTAAAGTCAAATATGACAAATACAAATTTTGTAAATAAAAAGAATTTGACCTCCTGTATTTCTGCATCATTTAAGTTGACTATAGAATCGAGTAGCCCCTGTTTTCACAAAGAAACTTGAATGGTTTTGTCTTTCCTTCTGGAGGTATGTGGCTGTGGCTTACCTTCCTGCATCTTCATGGTGTTCCTGTTGTCCTCTGGGATACCCAGGTGCTTGTAGCTGTCCTGTATGTCTGCAATTCTGCGTCCTTCAGTCCAGATCACCTTCCCTCTTGTTGCAGCCATTTGGCCACACTTCTCCTGTCAATTACATCCTGAGGTCATTGCTGCAGATGAGTCGATGTTTCGCTCACCCTTAACATACAACCTGACGTCATCCATCCTGGCTCAGGATCACTCCACTCGTGAACCACTTTCAGTGATGTGTCAGCTTAGGGGATTGAGGTGTATGCAGAACAGCAGTGGGAACAGCCCATCACCCTTATATATTCCACACTTCCAGGGTCTGACTGAGTTATTAATGAAGGTAATTAATGTGCCATAAGTCTTGAATTGTACCAAGCAGTTCAGTTCACCAAAAAGTTCAGTTGGTCTTCAGTTAGACAAGCGTGTTCAGGTGTGCTCCAAATGATTGTTACTGGGCGAAAATATTTGCTTTACAGTGAAATTAGTGTTTAAAGTGAAGCTTAGCTTTCTTTGTACGGTTTAAGCTCTAAAAACACTGGAGCCCACATCATCTATGGAGTTGCCTCAGCAGATGATCTGCTTCCATCTTACACTGTCCACATTTTAAATGAAATTATTATTATTGTGCCACATGCATCACTCTGCATGCTGTGTGGACCTGTGAAAGTCAAAGGAACAAGGTGTTGAGGACTCAGTGAGGAGCCACAGAAGAGACCCTGTCTCTGTTAACTGTACTGTCAAGAAACGTTCGAGGCTGCAGCTTGGGAACAACAATTCTACTCTGGAATCACGGGAGGCATTTGATCTCATTCAGTTCAGTACAATTCAAATCAGTTGTATGTAAACGGGGACAGTTCACAACAACTGTCATCTTGAGGGTGATATAGGGGGAAACTGTACAGGAAAGACACTATAAAAAGAAGGAACCCATAAAATCAGATTAAAACAATGGGAAGAGTGGGGAGGAAGAACTACCATTTAATGGGAAGAGACCTGTAGCAGAGCAGAGAACAGAGGAAAAGAAACCACAAACAGGACAAACGAAAGAGTCTGAATAGAAATATTAGCTTTTCCTTCTTTCCTGACCGTCTTTGTCACAGTGAAAATTTTAGCATCTTCAATTCTGCCACTTCCAGGTCCACCGTTTCCAAACCACCAATCACAGCAGGTCTCAGTATCATCTTGCAAACCTTCCATTTCATGCCTGACACTCATCTCCACCCACTTCAACCTACCTGCCCTTTCTTCTTCACTTCTCTTGGTTTGGATGCTTAAGCCCAGGTACGTAAGACTGATCTACGTTCACTGCCTCAACTCTGCATTTCTACCCCCCCCCCACACACACACACACACACACAGACACACACACACACTAGCTTTCATTCCTTTCCCTCCAGGCTCTTGGACACTGCTGCCTAAGCTCATCTGTCATCACTATTGCAACCAGAAAGAAGCTCAGAGCTGATCCCTGATGTATTCTTCACATTGACCTGCACCACGCACCTCACTGTCCTTGTACATCCCCTGTATCATCCTCAAATACTTCTCTACACCTCCCGACTTTCTCAGTTCCTCTCTTGGCAGCCTATCATATGCCTTCTCTAGACAAGGACACAGTGTAACTCATTTTGTTCTTCTCTGCATTTCCTCTCTCAACACCCTCAAAGAGAATACTGCATCTGTAGTATTCCTACAGCCCCTGACAAGGACCAGCTAAAGATGCCATCTGTAGTAGTCCTCGGCATGAAGTCATTCTGCTCCCGACCAATCATCTCACCTCTCTTCTTATCCCAACTTTCAGGTTTGTGTTATGGGCATCGTCCATGTCAAAGACAGTTTCTGTTTTCACAGATGGACTTTTTGCTTCTACAAAAAGTTGAATCTGAAAGTTAAACTCAGAAAAAAGACAGAGCCAACTTTAAGCTTAAGACTGGTTTATTTTTAATTATCAGAAATCCACAGTCTTCTATGTAAAAATAAAGGGGACTGAGAAGGTATCAAAGTTCCATAAAACGTTGAACAGACACTGCAGCATTAAGATTTGTAAAGAGCACTTAACCAGCAAATCTTTCAACTGTCGAATCTCCTGATTTGACATCTGAACATGACTGCACCCCGAGCGGTTTAAGATCAACACTGGCTGCCATCATAATGACACTGAAAAAATATCCAGAAACCTTTTTTCATGGTTTATGTCAGAAAATGTTCTTAACAACAATGCTGTCACATTTCTCCTTTAGTCTGCCAAGTATCTATAACTGATCCATAAACTACATTTACTTTGATAAAATGTTTATAAAACAAACTACACAGAAATCACAATGTAAACAGTAGTGATCACAACCCTTGTGCTGAAATATTACAATAGTCTGACAGAAACAGCATTATAACCTGACATAATCCGTCTTCTTTCCCTAAATGTGCAGACGAAGAACAGTTGTGGACTCACGAGTTTGAAATGTTTTATGTATATGTTGTTTTTAAACTTGAACAACATGCTGTCATTACGAGTGTGTTATCTATTATGCCAGCACATTTCAGTTTCCATATAAGATGCTGCTAAAGTTTTAGAAATAAAATGACCAACGTGAAATTAAAACTTGAACACATTCTGTGTTTGTCTACAAATCTTCTCTTTACAAATAAAAAGCTAAAGTAAAATCAGTTGGTAGTAACGAGCCCTCGTGAGTATCATTGGTTTGATTCGATCTCTTCTGTGCTTCACTTCTTCTAAGTGATCTTTGTTTGAGGGCATGTGTAAATGGTCTTCTCCAACAAGTATTAACCTTTAATTGCACATTTGGAAATCGGCCATTGAATGTGCAGCAAGAGCAGCAACAGCAGTTTTAATTAAGCACTTTGCTTTTTCAATTTCTTTTTAAAGAAAATACCACTATGTGCATCTGTCCAGTACCCGACAGACGGATGAACTGTCAACAACTGTCATGAAATGTTTTCCTGTAGTGTTTATCGTAATAGAAAAGTCTGAGGCCCTGTCTTTGTACAGGGATGTCAGTGAGAGGGAGTGAGCAGTTACAGCAACAACTCATGGGAGCCAAAGTGGAATGGTTGGACTGTAAACTGGATCCTCTGTTGCAGCTTACACTTCATTGTCATAACCCAGGATGGGAGCGAGCCATCTCTCCACCTCCTCCACATTCATCTCTTTCCTGCTGGCATAGTCCTCCACCTACAGATGAGATGTGCACAGAGGCCACAAGTTTAGCTCTTGTTTGGGAAGAGACCCGCAGCATATCAACTAAGTTTGGCCGGTGTATGAGCAGAAAGATTCAGGCAGAAATGGAGCGCATAGAGAGACCAGGACATGGACAAAACAGAAAGCAGCACAGGAACTGGACATCTCTCTTTTTCAGGTTTAAGACCTTAAGAAATCATGACCTGCAGATATTAGATTAAAAACAGTCTGTTAAATGAAACTATAGTTGACACATTCTCGTAGTAAACATGTTCAACACTGATGTACAGTGAGGCACATTATCAATGGATACCTGCTCCTTGGTGATCTTTCCAACAGCAAAGTATGAAGCCTGAGGGTTGGAGAAGTAAAGTCCCGACACAGAGGCGGCAGGTGTCATGGCCAGGGACTCTGTCAGACCAATGCCTACAATCACACACAAATGCACAAGTAAACACAAAAAGAAAACAAACACCCACACAACCTTACGCACACATGGGAAAAATATAGTAAATAAAATGTCCATGAGACAGACAGCAGATCAGTGTGTTGCATAAAAAACTACACCTGCCGGTGTTTCGTTAATAGCGTGGTTAGCCTCTCAACTGACATTTACGGGGTGGTTTTTAAGCCGTTGTGAATACAGAAAGATA